TAACTAGGTTTACAAACCTAATTTAATTAAAACTCTATATTTTTTGTATCTTTTGTAATATTTAGAATTTGATTTCGTTTTAACTAGGTTTATATGAGTTGATTATACACAGAACTCATTATTTTCAAAGGAAAGGAGAAGAATGTAGCAAGAACAATTCATTTAGTTCTTCAAGTGGAGATTGATCCTAACACTTATAAATAAGCGATGACTTCTCGTGATAACGTCTTTTGGAAATATGCAATTAAGGATGAGATAGATTCAATTATGTCAAATAATACATGAAAACTTGTTGATTTACCACCGGATTCAAACATATTGGATGTGAATGGGTGTTTAGGAGAAAATACAATATTGATGGTTCTCTTAATACCTTTAAAGCTAGATTGGTAAATAAAGAGTATCAACAAAAGAAAAAAAATATATTATTTTGATATCTATGCATTGGTAGCAAGAATAACTTCAATTAGTGATGTGATCCATGGCACGAAGCACGAAAGCAAGTACGGACAATGATCCACTGATCGTTGAAGAAGGGCCTATGACTGGTCACGAGCGAAGAAGGTTAAAGAAACGATGAAATTACTTGCTCAAATCACATGGACGAAACATTGATCATGATAAGCAAAAAATAAAGACTCATGTTGCACTCAGGAGAAGAAACACGATAGATCAACTTGGTTCAAGTAATAGACGAAGAAGCTGAAATGGGGCTTATGTGACCACATAGTGCAAAACTACATGTGGCGCATGTAACTAGGCAGAAATCCAGCTAAAAAGTTAAAGAGTTCTATATGACTGCATCTAATAGAACTGTGCGACTGCAAAGTTCAAATTGTGTGCAAAATTTTCCAAAATTTGCGAAATCTTCTAATTTAGTTAAAACTCTATATTTTTGGTATCTTTTGTAATATTTAGAATTCGGTTTGGTTTGGTTTTAACTAGGTTTACAAACCTAATTTAATTAAAACTCTATATTTTTTGTATCTTTTGTAATATTTAGAATTTGATTTCGTTTTAACTAGGTTTATATGAGTTGATTATACACAGAACTCATTATTTTCACTGTAAAACAATTTTGATATATATAACTTAAGAGATTATTTTGTGAGCGTATTTTGATTTCAATCTTTGTTCTTCAATGAACTAATTTGGTCCCAACCAAGTTTTATTCTCGAAGAATTCAAATTAGGATTTGAGTGAGAAATTGTAATTTAGATGACTCAAGAAAGGAAAGATATTGTATACTGTTGGCAATTCTTGAAATTTTTTAAATTCGATTTTTTTTTAATTCATATTTTTTTTTTGCTCGAAAATTGAAAGGATTTGATAAGTTCCATTCAATTAAGAACAAGATAGAAAGTGAAAAATCTCACATTATGATTATTTCTCAAGAAATTAATGTCTTTATTGTATAATGAATGAGCCTTTTATAGGCATAAAACAAATTCCTAATAAAAATAAAAATCTAATTCTAAAGACAAATCCAAATAAACTAGAAACTACAAAACAAATATAAAAAAAAACGACAAATAACGAAAATATCCTTAAACTAATTTAAAACTTAAAAATGCAACAATGAACCCTTGAACAACCAATTTTGACTCCCAAAGTTCGACATATCATCCGTCAAACTTGAGTAGAATCTAAAGACATTTTCGAATTGTATTTATAGGCGAAAATCCGACAACCAAGTAGAAAGTTATACGCATTTTTGTACATCCTTTATGTTTTTACACATACTTTATATTCATTCCATTTTCTAATTGGTTTAAGATATTCTCTTTTAATTGATCCATACCAATTCGGAACATACAATGGATCCTTGTTAGTTTGGTCTCCATGATTCTCATCATTTAGAAGGACAAAAGACTCAAACAAAAAGACAAGAATCAACGTTTATAGTTTGATTCAAAAATATTGAACCAAAGAACCAAAACAATCTCAAACGTTATCTTGATCCCATGATCACAAAAACTATAAACCTTACTATGAATTTGTTGAACGCCACAAAAGAGTGTAAATTTTTGATAAGTTCGAATAGTTTGATCGTCACAAATATAGAAAATATTTGATAAGTTCTGTTCAATTAAGAATAAGATATAAAGTGAAAATTTTAATATTATGATTAAATCTCAAAAAATTAATGTTTTTATTGTACAATGAATGAGCCTTTTATAGGAATAAAATAAACTCCTAATTAAAACAAAACTCTAATTCTAAAGACAAATTTAAATAAACTACAAAACAAATATGAATAAAACTAAAATACTACAAATAGCGAAAATATCCTTAAACTAATTCAAAACATAAAAACGTAAAAAAGGACCTATAAATAACCAATTTTGACTCCTAAAGTTTTGACGTAGTCATCCGAGAAACTTGTGCAGACTTGAAAGACAATTTTGGATTGTATTCATGGGTGAAAATTCGACGATCAAGCAGAAAGTCATACGCATTTTTATACATCCTTTACATTTTTGCGCATACTTCATATTCCTTCCATTTTCTAATTGGTTTAGGATCTTTTCTTCTAATTAATTTGTATCAATTTAGAATATGCAATGGATTCTTGTTAGCTTGCCCTCCATGATTATCTTCAATTAGGATTTTATTCACTTTAGTTTCGATACATAAGCTGCATATTCATCAAATAGATGTTAAGACAACATTCTTAAATGGTGATCTCAATGAGGAGGTTTATATAAAACAACCCGAAGTGTTTGCTCTACCCGAAAATGAACATAAGTTGTGTGAATTGGTGAAATGGTTATACGGTTTAAAGCAAGCACCTAAGAAATGACATGAAAAATTTGACTTGACTATTAATTCATTTGGTTTCTTAAATAACAGTGTAGATAAATGTTTATATTCTAAAGTGTGTGAGGAATATATAATCTTTATTTGCTTTGTATGTCGATGAGATGTTTATTATGAGTAATCAAATGGATGGAATCAAAGAAACGAAGAGATTTCTATATTCCCCATTTAAGATGAAAGATCTTAGATAAGTGGATACCATATTAAGTATCAACGTTATGAAAACTAGTGAGGTTTTTTCTTGAGTCAACCACATTACATTGAAAATGTGACTAATAAGTTTAAACATTTGAACATAAAAGAATTCAATACTCCTCTCGATCCAAGTTTAAAACTCATAAAGAATGATAGAAGAGAAATTGCTCAATTGGAGTATGCAAATGCTATTGAAAGTCTAATGTATGTAGTTCAATGTACAAGATCGGACATAGCATTTGAAATTAATAAACTTAGTAGCTTTACCAGTAATCTGAGTAAGGAACATTGGAAGGCCATTGGAAGAGTTATCGGCTATTTAACGAAAGCCAAGAACTTAAATTTACAATATTCTAAATTTCAGCTATATTAGAAGGATTTACTTATATTGGTTGGATATCTAGTGCGAGTGAAAGTAAATCTACTTCGGGTTGAATATTTACTCTTTCAGAAATTGCCGTTTCTTAGAAATCAAAGAAACAAACATGTATTACACACTCAACTATAAAATCTGTATTTGTAGCGTTACCAGATACTGGGAAAGAAGTTGAATGGCTTTAGGATCTTCTCTATGAGATACATTTGCGATTGAAGGATCGACAAATACATCTTCAATATCTATCATGTGTGACTGTTAAGCAACATAAGCAAAGACATTCAATAAGGTATACAATGGGAATAATTTCCCTAAATTATATTAAGTCAATTGAGAATCTAACGGATTCCTTAACTAAACCTCTAAATAGAAATTCAATAATATCTATTTCAAGTATAATGGGGTTGAAACTCTTAAAATAAAAGATTCACCAATAATGGCAACCCTATCAGTCATTACTTTACAAGTAATTTACTAGTTTAGAGGGTAACAACTCATTCGATATGTGAATAGTTTCAACTTTATAAATTCGCGGTAACCTTATCCTAATAATATAATGTTAGTTGTTATTTGAATGAGGGTTGAACTTTAAGTTCCTAATGAAATTCAGTACTAAAATACAAGTATTTCTAAAAGTAACAAAGATACTGAAAGAATTTCACCTAGACGAATTTTGAGATGGTGTCGCCTCAATAGAGAGTTGGAGTTTCTCTCTTAAAAGTTTGTTAAATATAATAAGTGCAAGACCATATTAAAGTTAAGCGAGATTGAGGATCTTGAGAACACAAGGTACTTGCATATGTTCTTACTAGTATTGTCACAAGAAATAATTAGTTCAAAACATCTTTTCTACCTTTAATTTTGACTTTACTTTGTTTGAATTACATTGGACTAGTGAAGGATTGTTGAAATTATAGTTCAAAATCAATAAAATATACTTTGGAATGAAAAAAGTTTTGGAGGCCAAGAATTTGATATATGCGATCGCATATGCTTGTGTAGCCTACGGTCGCATAATTATACGCAGGGCTTATATGCCCAGCAAGAGATTGACCTGTGCGACAATATAGGATTATTTTATGCTGTCGCATAGATAAAAAAAAAAAAAATAGCCGCTAAGATTGGCTTTTTGTTTAAAATTCTTGGTGACATTTTGATGAAAAGCTTGCAACTTTTTGTGGTTCTTTGGCACTATTTCTTAGGTGTTGATTGAAATCTATAAATACATATAGATTATCACATCCAAAACACAATTCTCAACAACTTGAGATCAAATTTTCATTCCAAAAGAAAGAATTTATATTCCTTCATTCATATTCAAAATTCTTTTAAAAAGTCTTCTTGAAATTTTGATAGAAAACAATAAGTACTTAAGTGTTTTTCTATTATAAGGCTTGATTAATCATTCAAACCATTTGCCAATTTCCCTTTAAGCATCAAAATCATTCGAGAGGGGGCAAACATTGTTTGAAGACAATGAATTTCGGGTTTAAGCCTTTATCTTTTACTCCAGTGTTCTCAATTTCATTCTTAGTTTCTTCTCCAAACCCCCTGTGTGGAAGCAATTTTTCAGTAGAATTAACAATTCATTTAGAAACACATAATATACCTGAATGGTTTGTGAAACTGCTATGCCACCATGCACCTTTCCAGTCATTCATTGCTGTAGTTTTGTTTCCTGAGAGAGAGAAAAAAAGGCTTTTGATTACATGTGCTTTTGGTCCACGAATAGTATCATCCTTTTTTTTAATATAATGAGTATTCATGACCAATTTAAAGCCTGAAAAATATTTTGAGAATTAAAGTTTCCTGGCAGCAATTTATAATTTTTTTTCCCTGTAGTGTAAGAACAAAATCGTACTTAACACAAGTAGCAAACTCTTAATTCTATATTTCATGGCATAGGAATGAAAGTTTTGTCCTAAATAACACTGCAAGATTAAAAACACTAATCAGTTAACAGCTAAAGATCAGTTTCTAAAACATTTTGAGATATCAAAAATACCTGTGGAACCAACGCCGTCAAGGTTTCTACAGTGTGGGTTCCAAGCAAACATATCAACCAAATCAATCCTGTTAAAGAGAATTCAAATAGCATGTGACACCTACTATTAATTAATCTCTGAATCTCTGCACCAAATAGTTTACCTGTCACCACTGTTACCATATTCCACGATCGGGTTTCCGCCGTACAGTCTGCCTGGGATAGAATTTCCAGTGGAGAAATACATGATGTCAACTTCATAACCACGACATGTCTTGTTGTTGCATGTACCAGGCATTTCTTCACATCCACCCATCTTGTTTAATAAAGCCAAACCCGTTTCAACATAGAAAGATATCAAATTAGTAAAGTGGGAGATTACAAAAACGGAATGAAGTTGCAATCTAACCATGTTTTGGGTGTGTTTATAAGCACAGTTTAAATGATAAATAGATATAAATGACTTATGGATAATTGGGTAGTGTTGATGATAGAAATTGGACCAATAAATCCTCTTACCTACCTAAGATTTTAACCTCCAAATCTCACTAGTTTTGACACTCAAATTGAAGTTAGAGATTAACTAAATGGCTATTTGGGAGGAGGAAATTTGAATTGCATGCGTCTATCTTTAAATAAGGGGGTATTTACAGATTTTCCTCCAAGTCTTAGGGTGGTTTGATCATTTTAGAAGAAAGATAGATGGTGGCTCTTCATCGGCTTATTAGTAATTGATTTTGTTACAAGCGTCATGTTTTATGTACATCTTGACAGTCAACAGCCAGCCTAGAAGGAGCGGTTCACATTTATTTTATGCGAACCTTTAATGCCTTGATTCCCCTTGCATGTTGCTACATCCTTCACGAGGAATTCGGTAAGGTTCATAGAGCAAATTGAACCTTTCATGCCTTGATTCCCCTTGCGTGTTGCTACATGCTTCGCGAGGAGTTCGGTAAGGTTCATAGAGTGAATTTTTTGGGGTTAATATGTGAAATATGAATAAAAAGTGGGTTAAGTGCTTTTAAAATGTTTATAAACATGAGCCAAACATAAGATAACAAAACTTTTAGTTTCCTTAAAAAAACTTACATTATGATATGATGCGCTCTCGCCAACTTGGAACATCAGGGCTACTGATGGGCATTTATAGTGATCTCTGCATGATAAAAGAACAAAATCATTTGAAGTTATTGTTTATGCAAGTCAGGTTGCATTAACTTATAAGGCAACACAGAGAATGAAACTATGAGCAAATATGTACTCATGGAATTCAACAACGCAAATGTATATTATTGAGTTAGTTATTATATAGTGGTTAAGTTTATTTGGGCTTTTTTTTTTAATCTGAGATAATGATGAATGTGTCTAAAAGAAATTTTAGTTATTCTAATGTCAATTCGTGTATGCTGAAGTATAGCGATAAGATGCTCCACAGTAGAGTGTTTAAGAATAAAAATTCAATATTGTAAGGCGAAAATTTCTAAACATTGTGTGTTGTGTCTGGCACATGAGAAAGAATACGGCCTAAATAATTGTGTGTGATGATGAAAATCTTATAATATTAGGAAATATAATCAAAATAAATTAATATGAACTCCATTAATGTTATCACTTCTAAGCATAGTAATTTTGAAAAGAAAAAAAATTCTTTTACAGTTTGTCTGGGAGTGATTTTTCCCCCCAAAAATTTGATTTTTTGATCGTTATTTCACTATTTCATCCTTTATATTTGACTTCTTCTCTTACAGGTAAATTTTCCTAACGGTCAAAAAATCAATTCTCAAAATCACTCCCAAACAGGCTCTTATTCTGCGCTCTTTGGCACAGTGAGTCTAAGTAGGTAATATTGTTAGGTATCTTATTCTCATTCCTTGATATAAAGTTATGGCATAACATTTAGGGTTTGTTTAAGTCCCATTTTTTGGAAAAATAGATTTTGTAATAGTTATTTTTTAGAGGATATGTGATTGAAAAATAGGGATTTTTTTTTATTTACGTGTTTCATTGGAAGAATGTGTAGTCAAAACTTTTATCGAGGTAGCCCTATATTATCTAAATATTTAAAATTAATTTAAATATATTATACAGTCATTAGTCTAGTGAGATTGGCAATAAAGTGACTACAGATATAGAACATAAAAAATTTAAAGGAAAAAAATGAACAAGGAATGATTCTCGAATGGAACAAGGCTACACGAATCGTGGAAGTGACCGTGAGGATGACCATACACACATACATGAGGGTTTGGGATTTAATTCATGTGGGACCCACTCGTCCCATGTGAGGGCGCGTTCATCCCCGTGGTCTCTTCCGCAAGTCGAGTGGCTTAACTCATGGAACAAATAGAAGAAGAAATGGCAGGAGATCTCCCATATTTACTCTGAAAGAAGTTGAAGTTTGATTGGGGAGAAGGACTCACCCTTTTGAATACTCATAATCTCCATCCACTTGCAAGATGAAGTAAATATCCTTTCCATCATGAAGAGCCTATAATTCATTATCAAGAAAATCATTAATATAACATATGAAACCCTCGAATTTATTTATTTCGTCTATCTGTTTCAAATTCAATTTCCCCTAAAGTATTTCCTATTTCAACTGAAAATTCTCCGGGAGCCAGTACAATACTCGATATTAGTCGATTTTTCACCCTATGTAAAATTAAATTATTAAAATTTGCACGGCTTTAATGTAAGAGCATGCTTGAAATAAGATGGGGCTAAGGGACTAGACTTGGGAAGATTTCCGAACTTGATACTGGACGACATAGGGTGAATTGTTTTTGCGCCATGAAATATAACTTTTAAGTAAAGCGGTGACAATACCCTACGTCACGAGCCTCGAACAAATTAGTACAGTCTCGGAAAACGATCATACATTAAGCTAAAAACTAGAGTGAATTCTTTTTGTGAGCTATTTTTCGTAAATAGACATATTGAAACTTGGGTCTTTTTTTTTCTTTGATACCATGTGAACCATTTTATCTTTGAAAAATCTATCAGATATATGATTTTCAAGTCCATTTGCACCTTAACGGCCATTTTCCCAGCTTTATACTCCATATCTTCATCTGGATCGAGAGCTGGGCGTAGTGGAAAATCGTACCCATCGACATCGATCCAATCATCAGAATTTCCATCAACAGTGACAAATCCGGGCTTAAACTCGGCCACAAGTCGAGCCTTCTCGTCGGGCTCGCAGTGCCAGTCACCGGACTCTTCGTGAGAGGCCACGAATTGCAGTTGGCTTGAGCCGAAGAGGGCGAGGAAGAGTTGAAGATGAAGTAGAAGCGACATAATAGGCCGAAACGTCCCCTTTTTGGAGTTGTAAAACCACAGAAGAACAAAGCATGGGATCTTAAAGATTTGAAGTAAATTTGAAGCCGCCCAGTAAGAACGACGACCGTTGGAGTTGACTTGAGTTATAAGGTATACAGCAGCCAATGACATCGGATATGTTTCATCTGTGGTAACCAAACTTTTAGAAAAAATTCAATTTGGTTATTAAACCTAATTTATTTTCAATTACATCGCTAAACTTCAATTTCAGTTTCAAATTTCGTCGCTTGTAGGGCATTTTTGGCAAATAAGTTCATGGCTTATAGTGAACCCTGCACCATGTGTGGTCAAAATTTATGGAGAGCCTCTGAATGGTGTTCTAAGTTAAAATTAATTAATTATATATTTCATGAGATTCATAACTTTTTAACAACACACTTCATCAATTTTTATCAAAATTTACTTAAATTTAATTTTAATATAAAGAGTAATGGCCAATTGACAAAGTGATGAATTTTAAAATGTAATTAAATTAAATGACCAAATTGAAATAAATGAAATTTAATGATGTAATTAAACCCTTATATGAGTCCATGAGGAAAAAATATATTTGGGAATCGTAATTTTTGAGAATGTGTGATTAAAAATAAGAAAAAAATTCGATTTATGTATAAAATTATTTTATTGGAGAATAGATAATTAAAAAAGAATTTTTGATAAAATAGGACTCAAACAAGGACTATTTTACTTCAATAATCATAAATTATTTTAATTAAACTAAGAAATAATATTTTTATTTAAATTTTGCGGGGCCAGAGTGAAGTAAACTCCAGTCGTGAGAAGTAGACGCATCATTAATGGTGAAAAAGATAATTTAAATTTTGCGGGGCCCAAGTTAAGCAAATTCCGGTTGTGAGAAGAAGACGCATCATTAATGATTTAATGGTGAAAAAGATATAGGCTGATAGAGATCAATTTACAATTTTATTTTTATTTTTTATTTTTCCCTTTTTTTGTAATTTTTTTTTCTTGTTAATGGTTTTTGCCCTTTTTATTATTTGATTATAGAGTGATGAATGTTAATTATTGTGTTTAAATTTTACTTGTTGGATTGAAAAATTCTAAGGAAAATCATCATATTTGTATAGTCATGCAATCAAATTAATTGAAAAATTATACAAAAAATTAATAAAACATCGTGAATTATATTTTCACAATCTGCATGTATCCTTTCTAATTTTTTTAATTTATTTGATTTAATTTCGTATAATAATAATGATAAATAAAAATAAGGAATTTGTAAAACGTTAATCATTTTTCATTAAATTTTATGATTTTATTTATGGGTTAATTTCACAATCGGTCACTGAACTTACGGAAAAATTACAAAACAGTCACTGAAATTTAAAACTGTCAGTAATGGTCACTTAAGTATTGAGACGCTTTTAAAAATGGTCACTGAAATTTAAAAATTTTTGAGCTACTTTTGCGGCAATTTTTCGATCACTTCCGACCACCGATACCACCGGATTTTGATACCCTTGGAAAGCCTAAAATGTCCTCTTCAATTACAATAAAAAATCTCCCCAAATTCTAAAGGATTCGGCCGGAATAAACCTACAAAATTAGCTACCCGAAAAAGCAAAAATCTGCCAAAATTTTCAGATTTTTGGTGGACTTTTGAGGCGATTTTTTGACAACTTCCGACCACCAAAATAGCCAAATGTTGATATCGTTGGAAAGCCCACAATGTCCTCTTTAATTAGCATTCAAAATCTCCCCAAAACTCCAAAGGATTCGGCCGGAATAAACTCACAAAGTTGGCATCCCAAATTTTCGCCTTTTTGGGATGCCGACTTTGCGGGTTTATTCCGGCCGAATCTTTTGGAGTTTGGGGGAGATTTTGGATGGTAATTGAAGAAGACATGGTGGACTTTCCAACGGTATCAAAATTTGGCTATTTTGGTGTTTGGAAGTTGTCAAACAATCGCCTCAAAAGTCCACCAAAAATCTGAAAATATAGGCAGATTTTTAGATTTTTTGGGGCGACTTTTGCGGTGATTTTCCGGTCGAATTCCTTGGTGTTACAGAGAGATTTTGAGTGGTAATTGAAGAGGACGTTGTAAGCTTTCCAACGGTATCAAAATTCGATGGTATCGATGGTTGGAAGTAGTCGAAAAATTGCCGTAAATGTAACTAAAAAAACTAAAAAAGTGTTTTTCAACTTCAGTAACTGTTTCAGAAACTATTTAAATTTCAGTGACCATTTTTGAAAGCGTCTCAATACTTAAATGACCGCTACTGAAAATTTTAAACTTCAGTAACCGTTTTGTAATTTTTCTATAAGTTCAGTGACCATTTGTGAAATTAACCCTTTTATTTATGGGTTAATTTTATATCTATAATGCTATTAATTAATAGTATTTTTTATACTGACATTTTAAAGCCTTCATTTTATATTAATTTTTTGCTAATACTTAGACTCGTGCTTCTTAATTTTAATCTAAACAAGTACTTCATTTTTCCTTCATGTCAACAATTATTCATTTATTTGATGATTATTATTAGGGATGACAACGAACTTGTCGGCTCGACTCGAAAAAAGCTCGAGTCGGCTCAAGTCGGGGCTCAGACCAAGCCCAAATTTCGGGATTTGGCTTGAGCCTGGGCCGGCTCGTGAAACGGCGTGTGCCACAGGCTTGGCCTGGCTCATTGTCAACCTTTATTTTTACTTTATTTATGTTTAATTTAAGATTTAAATAATGTATATATAAATATGCTTACATAATTAATATTCATAATTATGCCACAGCTATCTATATTTATAATTTATTAGTATTCTTGTTATATTTTGTTGATATAAATTTTATTATGTAGGAGTTAATATAATATTATTTGTTTTCTAGTGGTGTTTAAACTTAAAAGACATTTTCTATTTCAACATTTTTAATTCTACAAATGAATATCAAGATATGTATACACCTGAAAATTGTACTCTAATTTATATACTTTTGTATCTATATGAATATTTATTTAATTGTATTTTAGTCGACAAGAACAATTTGTTTGACTTCTTTATATGAATATTTCATGAATTTAAAAAATTAAATAAAAAAATTAAATTGGAATCGGCTCGACAAAGTCCTAGTCAAGCCTCTAAATTTCGATTAGGCTTTGACTTGGCTTAGGGACTAAAAAAGCTTGAGCTTTCTTTGACCAGGCCACGTACGAGCCGTGAGCCGATTTGCGAGCATCGACTTTCTAATCGACTCAACCCGATTCGTTGACACCCATAATTATTATTAATAATAGATATTTATATGAAATTATTGAATTGTTGTTTTGTTGATGGTTTAAGTTCTCACTAACAAAAATACTGAATCTAAAGAAGATTCTTCTCATGCAAAATGAGAAAAGGGCTCAATTCAGATTCGGCATCTGAAAGTTAAGAAGAAGCACCATTGGAGAATAAAATTCAGATCCCAAACGTAGCTGGACAACAAAAAAATGATTCCGACTTTGATTCTGAAAGCCTCTAACAAAACATTATGTCCATTCAATCAAATTAATTGAGAAGAAACCTTTACTTAATTCTGTGGCCAGATTTTCATGAAAGATGATGTTATTGCTTTACTTCAAGGCTTGATCGACTTTAAGTCATCTGAGCATATTGCAAATTCAGCCCATATTTAACAACTATACTTTTCAAACCTTTTTTACGTACTTATTTTCCACTACATTCAGACAATAAAATATTCAACATATTAATTTAAAAATTTTCACTACTATTTAACTACACATTCTCCTAAAAAAATCACTATTTAAAATTCTCTCTCTCTGTCGTTTTTTTTTTTTTTTTAATGGTGGTCAAGCATTTTTTTTAATTTCTTTTGTTCGTCAATGACAAATTTTATGTCAAGTTTACGAAGATTTGGGTCATGAAAACGTTTCAAAAACACAAAAACACAAAAAAAAAAAAAAAGGGGAAAAAACTATTTTTTAAGAAATGGAAAATGTTTTATTTTAAAACTACTATTTAACCACACATTCTCCTAAAAAAATCACTATTTAAAATTCTCTCTCTCTGTCGTTTTTTTTTTTTTTAATGGTGGTCAAGCATTTTTTTTAATTTCTTTTGTTCGTCAATGACAAATTTTATGTCAAGTTTACGAAGATTTGGGTCATGAAAACGTTTCAAAAACACAAAAACACAAAAAAAAAAAAAAAGTGGAAAATACTATTTTGTAAGGAATGGAAAATGTTTTATCTTCAATAAAGAAAGGATATGTTTTATTTTTAGAAAGAAGAAAATTCGGACTGATATTATCAGAAAAATAAAATATTTAATTATTTTCAGTGAAGTTGAAATAATTTTGAATATTTCCTAAATCAAAACTTAAAAAAAAAAAAAGAAAAAAAAATCGTCTTGACACTTATGGCAACCAAGTCTATAGGAAGAGGAAATAAAGGTAATTAGGAAAAGAATAAAGTGATCATCAAGAATAAGTGTTTGCGTTGAGGAATAGATGATCCATTCGATCATTTATAAGGATCTATGGTATTTTTAAAGATAGATTTCTTGATTGGATATAAAGAGTTGAATATTGGAGTAAAAAGTTTTATTAATCACTGAACTTCGAATGTTGTCACGTTGTGGTCGCTGTACTTTGACTTGCTTCTGAGTGGTCACTGAACTTACCAAAGGTCCTCTCCATCCGTCACTCCTCAAGATCCCATTTAAGTTCCAGCTAATGTGTTAAGAACAACATCTTGTTTGGCGCCAGATGCCATCATTCATAGCAAATGTTGGAATCGATTTTTTGCACAATTCATTCCCACCCAACTCCAGCAAGAAGACAAACCCTAGATTTCGATTTTCCCTAATTGATTCCCTTCTGATTTCAAAAATCCCCACATCCAGAAACCCCTAATCGCACATCCTTCCATCTTTCCTTATCATCCCATAATCTAAACCCACAAAAACGCGAAGGAGCAAATCTGCCCGGTCAACCACTTTTGCGCACGGTGAAGGTAATCCCATGTTGAAGGCTATTATATGTGATCTGAAGAATCATTTTTGAAGTTACTTTGAAAAAAAAAGTTTGAATAATGTACTTATTGTTATATTTAATCAGCAAAAGAATATGCATTGTGACATTGTATAAAGCTAGTGTAGCATCCCTAGT